AAATGTAAAATGGGAAGTTTTGCTCTTCTGGTAAATATGACCACAAGGGACTTGCTGCCTTGTGTTTGTTCTTCATCCACTGAAGGCCTGGGCCTCCCCCCTTTTTTTTTTAAAAAAAGCTTGATTTAGAAGCTGCAAAGCCATGCTTTTAATAATGCTGCTTATGAGCCTCTCTGTTCTCAAATAGCCAGCAGAAAATATGTGAAGGAAGGAGAAAGGAAGCCTGAGAGACACTTAAAATGACAGCAATCTAAATGTCAAATATGATAAAGGGGGAAAACTGCATGGATACTTCATATTGAGTAGGAAAAGCCACATTCCATATTTTATGGCTATGATGTTACTGGAGAATTATAGCGGTGTTGTGAAATACAGCTACCCAGTGACAAGACAAATGGGATATACATTCTGCACCATGTATACTGCAAGAGTTTTTGAACATCTTTGTCTAGCATTTGGCATTATGGCTCATGCAGCCTGCAATTCTGGCAGATGCACTTAAGCTTCCTGACCAAAAACTTTCTATTTGCTATTGCCCTGTTGATTATGTGTTTAACCTCGGCTGACTTAAAACTGCATTGATGCAGTTATCTGATCATCTCACAAGTGAAGAGTTTCTTCTAATCCTTAGCCTTAGTAAGGTTTTACAGACTATTTTGTGCATTCAGCAGATGTGTTTGGTCTGGCCATTGCTCCAAAGAAAATATCCCTAAAAGCACAAGAACTGTAGTTGTCCATGCTTTGGTAACCTTCAGGTGGTATTGCTGCAATGAGCTTCATGTGGGGCAGTCCTTGAGGTTGGTCTGGTAGCTTCAGCTAATGCAAAATGTGCCGGGATAACTGTTCACTGTGGCAGGATATCGACACAATGTTATTCCACTGGTGAATGAACTGCATTAACTGCTAATGAGCTACAAACTTGAAAAATGGTCTTAATCCTTATATACCCAATGGAGCCCTTTGCAGGCCTCTTGCAGAAACCATCATATCAGGAGATGTTTTCCACACAATATAAATATTGGGTCTTTGGTGATGTGGCACCATCCCTCTGGAATTAACCCCCTCCTGTTAAATACTATCTTTTCAATGACTACTGAGGACCTTGATCTCTTAAGTAGAGACTTTTCCCAGTCTGCATCTGTGTTAATATTGTTTATAGATATTTTAATTGTTTTGTAATTTGTCTGCTGGCTGCCCTGGGCTCCTATGGGAGGAAGGGTGGGGTGTAAATTTAAACAACAACAACAACAACAACACTGTACCATCAAGTAGTTCTGGCTAGGATGTCCTTAAACAAGATTCTTAAGAGTCAAGACTATCACAAAATTCAAAGCACAAACAAGACTGAGCTGCCAAGTAGCCTGTCAAGCTGGGTCTTCCTATTTTAGGAAGTACTAACAGGGTGAGAGTGGAAGAAACTTGCTTGAGGTGATACAATGAAGACAGGAATTGGTGAAAGATGCAGCAAGGCTTCTTAGAGTGCCCCTAGCATGGTGGCAAACTACTGGGGCTCTGCTTCAGGCAGAAAAATGTCTTTGGCTACTATGCAAATCTGAGATGCTGAACTCCATTTTAAGCAACTAGATTAGTTAATTGGCTGCAGCACAGAACTAGTTGGCACAAAATATGCACCGCTACAATAAATGCATTTTTTAAAAATGAAGTTAAGTGTATCCAACATGCCGAAAGAAAACAAACAGTCAGGAAGGAGGGATGATCAGAAGGGTTTTCTCTCTCTCTTGATTAATTTATAATGATTGCAAAATAATCTATGCTTCCACATTGGTTTATTGAGTCATCATCAAAGCTGCAAAAGCAGCTACATACATGGAGGGTCTGTTGGCTCGAAGTCCTATTGCAGAAGGTGAAAGGAAGTATGGGTCAGATAAGTGGTGAACTTTGCTTCATTAATGTCAGAGGGCAATGCGGAGCAAGCTAAAGCTGGGCAAATCTTGCAAGATAACTTGCCCAACCTCTCCAGTTGCACTTCTAGTAACAAGATGTTTTAACACTAGAGGTCAATACTCTGGAGGATACCCATGGAACGCAGTCTGGTCTAATATACTCAGGCATACTTTTAAGCACTGCACTTTACAAGACTTATATTGATATTAACTTTCAACCTTTAGTCAGCAAGTGGGTATAAGATTCTTTTTGTTAAAATAATTGGGCCTCAAAGGACATATATTTCTAGTTATTCTCAATGGGAATTGGGATAACTAAGGCACACTCTCTCCAGAACTTCTGCATCGTCAGTCATAGCTGAAATAGAATATACAGCTCTGCTGCTGTATTGATCAGTGACAAAATACGCTCATTCTTTCATTCTCTATTTCTCCCTCTCTTTCTCTTTCAGATACACTCTGACACACACACAGGAATGAACACAAGCTACTGCACCAATTTCATCTGGCTTGGCCCTTGCAGTGCTTCTGAGTTCATGAACATGTAATCCTTTACAGCCCTTAGCGGATTTCTCTTTCTTTCTCTCTCCTTATCTCTTTACCTTTTACAATCCCAGATAAGTTGCTGTGCCAAGTACATTGAACATTATGCCTTTATTTCACATTCCTGGTCCTTCATCCCTCTAATCTCTGGCTAACACCTGCCTTTTAGGATAGAATGCATGATCAGATTTTGCCATTCACACATGCATTTTACTACTTGCTTGTCTTGTTTCCCTTATCATTGCTTGCTATTGGAGGACTTTGGAGAAAATCTGGTTCAAAACTGGCATTTCAGAAGCAATTTAAGATGAGCTTTGCTTCCTGTTACTTGAGCATTGATGCAGATATACTGACAGGAAGGAGAAATGTGAATTTAATCTTCTTTCACTGGTAAACACTTATGTGAGGTTAGACAGCTATTTACAAGCCAGTTTATTAAGAACTTAAGCATCATTGAGAAAAATAAATAAAACAGCATCTACAAGTACCCTAAAATGCTGCATAATCTTGATTTATTGCTTTGCTTTCAAATGTGGCACAGCCAAAAAGGCTGTTATGCACAGCACAGCACTGCTGAGTTATATTACATAGGCAAAACCTCTTGGATTTGGATCGAGAAGAGGGAAACTACTTGAATTTGCATAGAGGAACAGGATTTTTACACTCATTACTAACTGGGACCACCTGGGCCTGGCATCTAAATGCCAACATGGAATTAATATGTGTGCATTTGTGTATATCCATGCCTATCTGTCCAACTCTCTTCCTTTCTCTATGGCCTTATTTGCACATCATGGTAAACAAAACTATGTTTTACCAAAATTGCACAAACATGGTGAGCTCCCAGAGAGGAACAGGCACCTGCTTAGCTCCTTTCCCCAGTCCTTCTAGCATTGCACCATATGGCATGTCATCCCAACCTGGATCATGGTTAACCATGATCTGTAACCATAGGACAAACCATGGCTATAGACTGTGGTTACAGAGGAAGACTTCAGCCACGATCTGGGGTTCACACAGCATGCTATGGCAAACCTTGGCTGGGTTGTGTTGCTGTGCTAAAATGAGAACAGCAGGGGTTAGCTCCTGTATGGAGCCAGAATATTTGCATGGTCCTGGTAAGCCAAAGCTTGGTCTGCTGTGATGGGCAAACCAGGCCTAGATATGTGTGCATGCGTGTATGTGTGCATGACTGAATAAGACAATTTCCTAACCATTGCAGTTGTGCTAATTTATCTGTTTCTTCTACTTCTAAAAAGGTATTGGGTTTTCCCTGCTCCAGTTTAACTTAAGTGATTGTCCCACCGCAACACCTCACTGCTTTCCTATTCTCAAATTGTGCACAGCACTGCACTGTTAAAAGTGCATTTTTTATATATATATATAAAAACTGTGTGCAAATAAATGAGCTGAAACAAATAAAGCCCAATTCACATGAGACTTCTAAGGCATCTGGTGGAATTATTTTTTCTGAGTAATTAGGCCAAGTGCTGGTACAATTCCCTTATGAAAGAAATCACCTTCCTTGCTAGCCAGTTATTTTTCATTGCTGTCAGACAGCACTAAGCTCCACTTCTCTCTATCTTGTATGTGACCCAAAGTATATTGATTACTAATCTTTCAAAACAAGAGGAATCATATCATTGACACAAATATGTTTATGGCCCATGGGATGTTTTCTAAGTCTCTTAGATTTTTTCAAGATATTAAATGTGGTCAATGAAGTCAATGGGAGCCTTGAGCCCTATGCAGTTGTTATGTTGTGCATGCATTCATCATCCTGAATGGACGTGGAACGTAATGTCTGCCTGTGCATTCAGTCTCAAACTGCACACTTGAATCAAAGCACATGTAACTCAGTACAGTAGTAATTTTTCCCAGCGTGTGTGGGAAGAACTCAATTACTGTGGCAAGTTTCACACCATGGTGTGCCTAACCTCCATATGTTTATTGAACATGTGAGAGTGACCTCTTCAAATACATGCTCTGTACATGAGAAAGCATAGATTTGCTTGACTCAAATCTCTGTACATAGTCTGTTTGGCATAGACCAATAAATGAAGGTCAGACCCATGAATGCCCAAGATTTATGCCATGATCACTATCCTGTTCACACACACACATATGCAGAAATGACATGTACACCAGGCTGATAAAAATCCACATTTTACATCAAGGAAATCATTTTACATGCATCTGATACTGTTTGCCTGGTGCATATATGATGATTGCATATCTGCATTTTAATTCTACCAGAATTATACTACGATAGAGATTAGGTTATAATAGGGTCAGCATTCTCTATCCTATTCTTCTCACTCATCAATATTTGTTGAGAGCTAACATTACCTGTATGTCATGGTGTGTCATGGTATCAGATTTTAGGATTTCCCCTGCTGTCTGTTTTCACCACCAAGTTATGATGAAGCACAACTCAGGAGACGTTTTGTTTTTCCAGCAGTACAGTAAAGAGAGATTACTTCTGCAATTATATTTTAAATAATTTATCCAACATAGCCATTAGTACATTTTCTCAAAACAATAACAACTCACCAGATGTTTCATCAACTCTTTCATCTACCACATGGTCTTTCTGGTGGACCCATTCACTGTTGCATTTGAAGTAGATCTGGGTGGCAGGGCTAGCTTTACAGTACAGGTTCACAGGTTTGTTCTTCACGATGTAGGCCTCTTCAGGCTCAATGAGGAAGTGAGGAAGTGGCTCTGGAGGATCCGAAGGGAAGGTTTCTGGGAGCTCATGAAAAAAGTCATCATCTGCAAGAAAAGAAGTTGGAAGGGAAACATTAACAAGCTGTTAAATAAAATTGAATCTGAACTTGAAAGCTGTTTTTCAGCTTTTACTACAAGAAGAAAATAGAGATGGCAATCCTTACATGAATGATACATATTCTTAGAAGATTGCCCTATGAGTGTTTCGAATAAAAGATATAGCTGATTTTAAGACAGTTTTCGGGGGAATCATTATGACAAAACTGCAGCTATCCTTTCAAGCGGGCGCGTTCAATTTTTCCCAACAGCAGGCTCTATTAGCACACAGTTACAATACTGGTGACAATGAGATGTACCTGTTTAGATGGATTCGATGTGTACATCTGGAATACTTCTACATGTGGCCTCTTCCTTGCTGAGCAGCATTGATTTCTCAGTATCTTAATAATGTAAGTGTTTCTATAATAATGATAACAGGAGTACGATGGCTTTGCAGGGTTGTATTAAGTTGTTTAACATTGATCAAAACACTTATCTTTTTGCTGTATGGAGTAGCTGACTGACTTATAGGCAAAAGGGCATTTATGTGGTATGTTTGGGTTAATCTCTGTTCACCATCAAAGATCTCATGGCTGAAGATTATATTCTTCTACCATATGAGGAATTAAATGCAAATTTTAATCTTAAACCATAGTCTAGGTGGCATTATATGCAAGATTGGTGCCTACTGATTACAAATTTGGCCTAGCCGAAACCTCAAAAACAATGATTTAATAGAAACTGAGAAGAATGAGACTAAGATCATGTGGGTTACTTATATACCTATGGAAGCCTACTGTGGGCCTTTCCTGAATCAACTGAAAATAATGCTGGTTATGGTCTCTGGAGCTGATGCGTAGAATTCAATGTAGCAAAAAGAATATTGTTCCATCAGTACAATCATTTATGCTTCTCCCGACACACACTGTTCTGACCTTCCAAAATGGATTTGGGGGAGGTGGGGGAGTGCATGGGGCAGGGAGTGTGATGGGACAGTTGAATCCAGCCCAAGCTAACTGGGCCAAGGGAAGCTGTCTTATACTGGGCCCATATTGCTCAGTATCGTTTAATCTTTCCCAGTCCTATCTAGAAATTCTGAGGATTGAACCCAGGAACCTTCTGCATGCAAAGCAGATTCCTGAACTACATCCTTCTTTATCCGCTGAGACTGCATCCATAAAACCCATCTCAGGTAATACAGGTGTAAAATCTCTTACAGAAGCCAAAATCATCCAATGAGAGCAATGAGACAAGCAGCAGGGTTTGTTTAACTTTGGCTGCAACCACAGTGAAGACAGTGTGCTATTTACAGTGGTACCTCGGGTTACAGACGCTTCGGGTTATAGACGCTTCAGGTTACAGACTCAGCTAACCCAGAAATAGTACCTCGGGTTAAGAACTTTGCTTCAGGATGAGAACAGAAATCGTGCAGCAGCAGCGCAGTGGCAGCGGGAGGCCCCATTAGCTAAAGTGGTACCTCATGTTAAGAACAGTTTTAGGTTAAGAATGGATCTCCGGAACAAATTAAGTTCTTAACCAGAGGTACCACTGTACTGCTAATGAATCCTCTTTTCTGTATTTTGCTCCCAGGATAGCTCAGGATAGCCTGATCAGCATGGATAGGTAGGGTGCTAGTATTGGATGGAGTCATAACTACAGGTAGGCTGCAGAGCGAGGGGCATCGATAAACATAGGATGAACATCTGTTACCCTTCACAATGACTACCACTCACCATGACTGGAATCCAGATTCAATTATGAACTCATAATTTCCTTTGGTTGCTTTGAGAATTATGCACAGGGATTTGCAATTCGGAAGTGAGCTGACATCACAGACCCATTTCAATGAACCCAAGTAAGTTAACCATAATCCTCCTGCTCTGTGATCTCATAATCAACTTCAGCTTCTTACATCAGTATGGTAATTCCTTTCACTGAACTAATCTGACCTAAACTGCTGGGAATGAACTAATTTTCAGACAGCCTCATCATTCTCCTTTGTTAGACTCTTAAAACAACAACAACAACCATTCCGTTCTTTAAAGGGGAAAATCACAGTGATTCGCAGGGAAAAGCTCATCCCGCTGGCTTTAAACTCTAGCGTCAATATGCAAGAGTATCCAAGATGCCCAAGACAAACAGTTCTCACAGTGGTAAAAGGATGAGGGAGCAGTAACTATTGACAGATCTATCAGTAAGAAGCTGACAGTCCTGAAGGCCTTATTCAATCTCCTCTTTTCTGCCTCTGAAGCAGTTATCGTTATAGGCAGTGACCGACGCCGGAGATGATCAATAAAAGCGCCACAGAATATCAAACTAGAAATACTGCAGAAGGTTAGCTCTCCCCTTCGTGTCAGTCTTCATGAAGATTAAATGTCAGTCAACTACCTTTCTTTACACTAGATATACCTATATTTTCCTGTGTCCAGAATTACAGAGGATATGAAAGACTCTTCCTCCAGCCACAGCTTTTGTAGACAGACAGATAAAGAAAGAACAATGACAGATGAAAGGGATTGGATAGATTGCTACCACGATATCTATCTCCATAGCTAGAGTTACACCATGTCTTTATTGGATGTAGGTAAATCAAGAGGGTTTGAGGTTTCATGGACCTCCGGAGCCTCTCAAACTGTATTAGAAGAATGCAAACCTTTCCACAGTCATTTAAAAGCACAGTATTTAACTGTTTATGAAACACAAATCAATAAAAAAAAACTTCTGTCATTTAAAACACTGTATTTAACTCTTTTTGCAGAAAGGCTGAAACGTCCCCGAAAAAAATTAACCATTCTGTAACAAAACTCTCTTTGCTTCCTACAAAATCCCTGAGCAAACACCAATTTGACCTCAACATTTTCCTTTAAGTGAACTAAGGTACCAGGGTCTGTTTATACACTGCCAAAAGAGTTATTGGAGTCCTAAACAACTTAGGCCAAGGATACTTTAAGAGGGCTGCCTGAGCCTTTATATCTCAAGAGTTCCCTGGGAAGAGGGTTCAAACAACTCCTGAAATTGTAGCTCTATGAGAGGGGAAAAGGTCCCCTAACAACTCTCAGAACCCTTGACAAACTACAGCTCCCATGATTCCTTAGGGAAAATCTTACCATTTAAAGTGGTATAATATTGCTTTAAATGTATAGTGTGAATGTGACCTAAATTAAGCCAAAGTTTGGTTTAGCATGTTGCTCGAACTGGGAATCATGGCTATGCTCTCTCCTTAGTAAGTATGAGTCCACACATTCACAGCCGCTTGGTACCGTAAGTCAAGGTCTGGCGAAGCATTTTGTGTGATCTAGCAAAATGAGTGAAAGGAGGTGTTTCAATGCTGATTAAAAATCAACATGATCATTATCAAATATGAACACTCTGCCTGATTTGCAGATTTTGGATTTGTTTTGGAAGCATATGGCGTAGTATCAATGGAGAAGTTACCATGGTTTAAACTGATGTGTGTGTGTGTTGCTGATTTTCAATTGCCTTATTTACATCTACCCCGCCCTCTCTTTAGCCATTTTGTGCTTGCATCCCCAAATACTTTTCAAAGATGCAAGCAGAAAGAAGAAGATTGTGAATAAGACCTCACATACACACATGCACAAAAACAAAGTATAAAGTGTAACCATTAGAGATGAGTCATCCCCCCCCCCAATAGCCTCGGGGCACATCTTTTTCTTCTGGTCATTTAATTGCAAATCAGCAAAGAGACAGATGGAAACTAACAAAGCAGGCATATGTTTTATAATTAAACAAGTATTGCCTTGCTAATTCCTGGTGACTGCAAAAAAGTATTGTTTTTCATTGAGAGCTCCCAACACATTTACTGAAGATAATGTTCATAACCATGCTATCAAAGAGTAAACTAGAATTTCTCTGCTGTACTTAAAGTTCCAGATTTGTGATATATAAATCTCTGACAAAGAGCCTTGTTTCAAATAAGGACCTTTCACCGTCAACATATTTTACTTTGTTCTTTGAGAGATCAAGTCTGCAATCCTTTACCTACTTTCCTGGGAGTACTGAATTCAAGGGTGCTTACTTATGCTGCCTGTGGACAAACGCTGGCTCCCTCGGCCTGAAGCAAGATGAGCGCCTCACCCCACAGTTGCCTTTGACTGGACTGAACCATCCAGAGGTCCTTTACCTTAACTTACCTTTGCCTACTTTTGAGTAGACGTAGAAGTAAGATTGCACTGTGAGAAAACAACCACCCACACAGCATTGCTGAGAACAGAATGGCATTCATTTTACACATTTGCTTCAAAATGTTTTTCAGACAAGCATGTTCTCATTCATTTGTGGGGTTTACATTTTTCATTATTCACCAAGATAATAGCTGTGCAGAAGAGAATGCCTAATAATGGAACAATGATTGGATTTTTCTACACCCTATAAAAAAAGCACCCAAACAATCAGATGGTACATTCTCCTCTCCATCAGCATTCCAGGTCTCTAGCCTACACATCTGCTGCACACCGCTAAGGAGTAATAGGCACAGCCTTATCAGACTGATGGAATCAATGCGGGAAACTCGGTTTGTGCTTTTCTGGGTTCTCAGATGCGATTAGATCTCCTGAAGCAAGAGCACAAAACGTTATTTCCTTTTCTCCCAGGCAGACAAACTATGTCTTTACAAGTTCTGTTTCTGTATATACCTTAGATAAACAGCTATAACGGTGGGTGCGTTGGGGGGGGAGCAAATCACAACCTGGGCATGCTTAAACACAGTTAAAATGTGCCCTCGTATCTCACTGTTGCTGTGTGATAGCCTTGCTATAATCCACAAAATGTGGAGCATTAATTCAACTCACCTGAATCAGAGCTAAGGCAGAAACCGGCTTTCCTTGTAAATGAAATGATAACTGGACAGTCTTTGTACATGAACAGGGGGCTTCTCCCTCACCATTAACTACACCGGGACACATATACATCCGGGATTCACAAGAACACTGCAGGGCAAAAGGAGTCTCTCATTTTGGTCAGCAAGCACTGCGAAGATTAAAACT